CTCACTAGTTGCTAGTTTCACTTAAAGCACTGCAAATGTAATATGCAAAAGAGTCTGTTAAGAGTGCAGTGATATAAAGTTACTACTATGCATTAGTAGCTAAGTCTTGGCTAGTACTTAGTAGCAGTTAATAACAAACTGTTAACTTTAAAGACATTAATCCACAAACTAGTTGAGCTTTATGAAAATAAAGAAATCCAGAATTATTTGTTCCTGTGAATTGCATCTGTTTCTTTCCTAGTTTGTAAATAAAAGAATTCCGAGACAGTACCAAATAAAGAAAAAGTATTTAGGAACAAGAGATTAAGTGCAGTTTAAACCTCAGATTATATCCTAGCAAGCATTTATGAAAGAAAGGAATAGATATATATTTTGGATTTTCTGCAGTTCAGATAAGAAAATGCATAGGAATTCCTTTACAGTGATGATAACAGCAAAAGCATAAAGGTCAAAATGGTACAGAACAGCAAATGCAAGCAATTTTCATTATCACCAAGAAATGCAAGCTGTGTATATACATATCTATATATACACACACCTATGTGGTTGTGAACATTCAGGATGTGTAAAGATTTTTCATTGCCAATTATATTAAAAACTAATGATAGGGATAGTTGATTGTTGCTTCTTCATCCTTGAAGACAAAAATATAGTTGCAATGTTGACAAAATTGGGAATTGGGAATAATAAGTATGAGGACAAAAACCCAAATCCTCTTTCACTGTTTCCTCACGTGCTATTATTGATTTTTCATTACTTTATGACGTAGTTTTTGCTATAGGAAATAAGTCAGTAGAGAAGGCAAATACCTTTTTTTTTTTTATATATATATATATAACTATTTAGTATTCGGCTCCATGCCTTAATGAAAACAAAACCTCAGTCTGAATTCTCAACAAATTTGTCACCATCTTTTCCTTTAATTCAGGGGGTTACCGGAATATTGTCAGCCTCACAAGACCAGTGTGAGGCCAGGCAGAACTATTTTCTACTTTGATATTTGGGGAACCCAAACAGATCCAGGGTCAAGCGTTTGCTTCAGCACGAAAGCGTTTGCTCAGCACGAAACTTGAGAAGTCTAAAGACTTTTTCCCCAAAGAATACTTCTGTTTTATAGCTCTGATAAATCCAAAGCAGTGCTTCAACTGATCTAAGTTGCAATTACAAACACTCAGCCTTTGCAGAAACTTTTTTTTTTTTTTTTTTTAAATGAAGACCACATTCTTCATTCCAACTCCAGGAAGAAGCTACAGAGCCAGTTTTGTTCACTAAATAGCACTAACCAATTTCTTGTGCACTCTGAATGACACAGGATTCGGGTAGAGATATTCGCACCTCCCATATACAAGGGGCCAGAATAAAGTTTCGTGGACCATCTCAGTTCCGGCATTTCTAATTCCCTGAATTTTAAGTGCTTAACGTACAATCCTAACACTATTTTAGCCTTTTTGTTTGTTTCTCCACGTAGCTTTGCAGCTTTCAATCCCCACTGAGCCCCAGGGCGCCGCTGGAGGCGCGCAAACTGGAGGCGCCGGCAGGGCGGCCCCAGGCCTAGAGGGGCCCGGAGCGCCCGGCCGAGGGCGGCACGGTCCCGTGTGCGCGTCGGGATCCCCCCCGGAGCGGGGCCCTGTGCCGGGCGGCTCCCTGTGCAGCGAAAAAGCGGCTGGCGAGGGCACGAGGCGCGCGCCCTGCTCCGCACTCCGGGCGAGGGACGGGGCCCTCGGGCCGGGCTCTGCCGCACGCTGCGCTCGGGCCTGGCAGCGACAGAGAAGGCGTTTTGCGGAGGCAACGGGCCGCGCCGGGGCTCGAGGCGCCGCTCCCGGGCTG